CAGCGTTCTGGCGCGCCTTATCGGCCCTTATCAATCGTTATCAGTTTCTGGCACCCACCAACAATGTCCCCGTCCCACCCCACATAACACTTGTAAGTATGGTTGCTCTGGTGTCAACGCGAGCCAGGCAACGGAATCGACGACTTCAGCGTTCTGGCGCGCCTTATCGGCCCTTATCAATCGTTATCAGTTTCTGGCACCCACCAACAATGTCCCCGTCCCACCCCACATAACACTTGTAAGTATGGTTGCTCTGGTGTCAACGCGAGCCAGGCAACGGAATCGACGACTTCAGCGTTCTGGCGCGCCTTATCGGCCCTTATCAATCGTTATCAGTTTCTGGCACCCACCAACAATGTCCCCGTCCCACCCCACATAACACTTGTAAGTATGGTTGCTCTGGTGTCAACGCGAGCCAGGCAACGGAATCGACGACTTCAGCGTTCTGGCGCGCCTTATCGGCCCTTATCAAATCGTTATCAGTTTCTGGCACCCACCAACAATGTCCCCGTCCCACCCCACATAACACTTGTAAGTATGGTTGCTCTGGTGTCAACGCGAGCCAGGCAACGGAATCGACGACTTCAGCGTTCTGGCGCGCCTTATCGGCCCTTATCAATCGTTATCAGTTTCTGGCACCCACCAACAATGTCCCCGTCCCACCCCACATAACACTTGTAAGTATGGTTGCTCTGGTGTCAACGCGAGCCAGGCAACGGAATCGACGACTTTTGCGTTTCTAGCGCATCTTATCAGCCATTATCAGTTGCTATCGCTTCCAATCATGTACCACCAATGTCCCGGGACCGCCCCACAAAACTTGTAAAAAAAAAAAAAAAAAAAAAAAAAAAAAAAAAAAAAAAAAAAAAAAAAAAAAAAAAAAAAAAAAAAAAAAAAAAAAAAAAAAAAAAAAAAAAAAAAAAAAAAAAAAAAAAAAAAAAAAAAAAAAAAAAAAAAAAAAAAAAAAAAAAAAAAAAAAAAAAAAAAAAAAAAAAAAAAAAAAAAAAAAAAAAAATAGACGCTTTTACCAATATGAACGGCAAAACGAAATTGGCGATGCTCGCTTTCTAGCCCCTCTTATCAGCTATTATCAGTCGTTATCAGTTCCTATCACGTACCACTTGTGTCCCCATCCCACCCCCTATAACATATGTAAGAACCACTGCGCTATCGTTACTGTGACTCGAGCTATGAATTTCCGTCAAACACACACACACACCACAGACACACGCTAGCCGCTTATATATAGTAGGATAGCTCCATACTTACGAAGGAAAGGCGCGGAAAATTTAGTGACACTCTTTAGTTGCTTGAGAGAGTTGTTGCTAGTCTCCAACTTTTTCAATATCCCACCTTACCAATACGAATGCTGCTAACCATAAGCTGATCCTACTATATATAATTCGCTAAGTATGTCTGTGCGTGTGTATGTGTGTGTACGTCTGTTTGTCACGAAATTCGTAGCTCGGGTCACAGCAATGATAGCGCCATGGTTCTTACATATGTTATAGGGGGTGGGATGGGGACACAAGTGGTATGTGATAGGAACTGATAACGACTGATAATAGCTGATAAGAGGGGCTAGAAAGCGAGCATCGCCAATTTCGTTTTGTCGTTCATATTGGTACTAGAGCGTCTATACTTACAAGTGTTATGTGGGGTGGTCCCGGGACATTGGTGGTACATGAATGAAAGCGATAGCAATTGATAAGGGCTGATAAGGTGCGCCAGAACGCAAAAGTCGTCGATTCCGTTGCCTGGCTCGCGTTGACACCAGAGCAACCATACTTACAAGTGTTATGTGGGGTGGGACGGGGACATTGTTGGTGGGTGCCAGAAACTGATAACAATTGATAAGGGCTGATAAGGCGCGTCAGAACGCAAAAGTCGTCGATTCCGTTACCGGCTCGCGTTGACACCAGAGCGTCCATACTTACAAGTGTTATGTGGGATGGGACCGGGACATTGGTGATACATGACTGAAGGCGATAGCAACTGATAAGAGCTGATAAAGCGCGTCAAAGAAACAAAAAAAGAAGCCAAAAGTCGTCGATTCCGTTACGCAGCTTCGCATTGACACTAGAGCGTCCATACTCGCAAGGTGTTATGTGGGGTGGGACGGGGACATTGTTGGTAGGTGATTGAAAGTGGTTACAACTGATAAGGGCTGATAAGGCGCGTCAGAACGCAAAAGTCGCCAATTGTGTCACATAACTCGCGTTGTCATTAGAGCGTCCCTACTTACAACTTCTATTTGCAGTGGTACGTGCACATTGTATCATTGTATGACCAGCTTACTTGATAGAAGTCGGTTGCATAAACTCAAGTCTTCAGCAAATGATAAGTTTCATTTCTATCAAGAAAGCCCAAACTCATTAAACCGCTAATCCTTTCGGGGTTCTAAATAATGGTGAATGTAAATAAATGATAAGCCTTAGCTCCTCACTTATGTAAATAGGCATATTTCGTTTTTATTTTGAGACTGACAGCAAGAAAATCCTATTCACCGCTAAATTATCTTAATTCAAGAAAAATGCTGGGTGTTTACAGTTGTGAGATGTATATGTACACCAGTTCAGTTCCAGACGTTATCACGCATATTCTCGATGGATTTCAGGGAAAGGTATAACACATTCAATAGTGAGGTGGTTAATGGAGGACCTCATGCTGATATTCCATGGGTCCTCCAGTTTCGCTAAAGCCTGCCGTGTGATGCGCGCGATAGCGGGCGGAGCAAAACTGGTATTATATACTATTTTAGCTCCGCACGCACCGCCGCGCACATCACATTGTAGGATTTAGTGAGAATGGAGAAACTACAAGATATTTGGTCTCGGCTGAGAAACCAATAGTAAGACGTTCTGGAAGATACGTCAGAGGAAGTCCAAAGAATGTTCAGTTTCGCTGAAAATTTGTCGCGTAGTGCGCACAGTAGCATGTAGAATGAACCTGGACTATTAACCATAAGTTCGGTAAACTGTCTAGCATTGATCTTGAGCGATGATTAGCGGTGATAGCGGCTGTGCGCGATGATTATGCGTAGTGGGACGTCAGAAAATGATGGGCCCAACTTCCTTTGCTTTTTTTCCGGTGAAAGATGAAAAAGGACCATATTAACGTGCTAAGAGCCTGGTATTTCAACTGAGTACAAACTCACTTGTTGCCACTTTTGCTAGTACAGTTTTCTGTCATTATCACTTGGTGTCACTCACCCCCAACATCCAGCCACCTTGTTTGCAGTGAAGTTGGACGCAGTTGCAGTCCGACACTCCTTATCATTCCTTATCACTTCATACAGTTCGCAATCGGTGCCCCTTCCACCAGGGTGAATATCGGTCGAGGAAATCCTCGACAGGGGGGTCGTACCTGTTGGGCTGGTCCATGGGGGGTCGTACTACTCTTGGGGTCAGTAACAGAGTGGTATCATGGTGCAGATAGGTAATAGGGTATAGCGCAGCAGAAAATGAAAACATCCGAAAAAAACATGATATTAAATTTTCTTTGCAGGTTCAGTCGCTCCATTCCTCCACCTTCATGAGAAGGGCGTATTTGAAGGCAGTACAAAGAATGAAAGTGCATCCCCGCAAAGAAGACTGCCACATGTGCGCACGCGCTGCAAAGGCACCTCCTCCGCCTATCACTCGCTCCTTCTCCCTTAATACCTCGCTGAGAATGACGCTGTTGTTAGGGACCCTGTCGGAAAAACGACAACCGTGAAGAAAAAGCGCTGGGCAAATGAAGTTGTTTTTTAGGTTACAGGAATAGCACAACACACTATGTCTACTACAATACAGTTTCGTTCGAAGGTCCCCATCATATAACACCTTTCAATCGATTCTGCAACTGTGAGTGGAGGAGGGATGCATGGCTTATACCAATACCAAATCGGATGATGACGATTGCTCCTATTCTTATTGTTTGCGTTCAAAGATATTGTTCTAGACACATTCCGAGTGTTGCCAACGAGTCACACTTGCAATGGTGAATGAGGGAGCGGATTTCCAGGTGGCCGGATCCGACCTCGATAGATCCTCGACGCAATTATCTCTTCAACCAAAAAGCTGTAGAAGAAAACTAAACAGACCATCAGGAAGCGCAAACCTTCCGCTTTCCAAAACTATCTTCCCTTTTTCAGGATCTTACAATATCCTACTATATATAAGCGGCTAGCGTGTGTCTGTTGTGTGTGTGTGTGTATGTTTGACCGGAAATTCATAGCTCGAGTCACAGTAACGATAGCGCAGTGGTTCTTACATATGTTATAGGGGGTGGGATGGGGACACAAGTGGTACGTGATAGGAACTGATAACGACTGATAATAGCTGATAAGAGGGGCTAGAAAGCGAGCATCGCCAATTTCGTTTTGCCGTTCATATTGGTAAGAGAGCGTCTATACTTACAAGTCTTATGTGGGGCGGTCCCGGACATTGGTGGTACATGATTGGAAGCGATAGCAACTGATAATGGCTGATAAGATGCGCTAGAACGCAAAAGTCGTCGATTCCGTTGCCTGGCTCGCGTTGACACCAGAGCAACCATACTTACAAGTGTTATGTGGGGTGGGACGGGGACATTGTTGGTGGGTGCCAGAAACTGATAACGATTGATAAGGGCCGATAAGGCGCGCCAGAACGCTGAAGTCGTCGATTCCGGGTGACTGAGAGACTTAGGGTTATGGTGGACCCTTTTATAATCACCTCGCGGTGGTTCAGTGGATTTATATGATGAGGAGGAAAACTATGTACAGAGAGAAGAGTTGAACGCCTTTATTGTATGGCTGCAAGAGAAGGTATATGGTTGTAGTATCTGTTCAAGGCTTATACAGTATGGGCACGCCCCCGCCAGACGTGAGGTCGTGAGGGAATCATCGCCAGCTATGCGCAGGCGATGACACTCCGGCGAGGCGGCGAAGTGAACAGTATATGAAACAAGGTTTCAGCAACATAGAAAATTATGTATCATGGAGTTCCGTTGTTGAGCGGCTGATGGTTGTTGAGTAGATGAAGCGTTGGGCGGCGTCGAGAGTAGGAGGCGTTGTTGGCGGCGATGGAGACGAGGTTGAAGGCGATGGAGACGAGGTTGAGGGCGATGGAGAGGTTCTTGATGTTGGAGAAGAATTATGCTTAGGGTGATTAGAGAAGGCTTAAAACTCAGCTATTCACCAAGTGATTGGATATCTGTGCTGGCGCATCTTTGTAGACCTGGGTCGGATACGGAGTGCGAATTGCCGCCGCCCCAGGGAATGCGTATACTACAAGTTCGACTTTTGGTGAAGGAATTGGTGTTGCCCTTTGGAAGAAACGGTATTTTTATGCTCGAATGACAAGGTTCGGTGGAATATGCGAAGGTTAACCGCGCTTGTTAAGAAGATATATTGCTCTTGAAGTGGCAAAAACTCGCGTGAAAATTTGGGCCTCCTCGACATTTACTCGACGAAATTTGACAGACCCTATCTTTCTGCAAGGAAGGCTTCCAGAGCAATTTCGATGCTTGTTGGAAACGCGAAATCCAGCTCTATCTAACTCTACCTCAAGCTGCTTCAAAGGTTGTGAAATGGAGGAATGCAACCTTTTCATCGAGGGTGTAGATTCGGACGTTTTTTTTTGAAATTTCGGCAAATCTGACCCAGTGACAATCGCGCCGCAGCTGCCGTTGAATCGGCCTTTGATACACTCGGCTGTTTTGATATACTCAAGCAAGAATCAAGATTGAATCGCAACCCCGTGTCTTCAGGATTTCTGTGCGTTTCTGAACGAACCTCGCCTTGAGGTCACACAAAGTTAATGCCTCTTTCCTCGAGTCGATATTTCAGTATGTACACAAAAGTATGCAGCGATGGAAGACGTGCATAGATGACAAGATGAAGCGTCCTTAGCATTATTTTGCAGAATTTTTTTTGATTTGTTTTGCAGGATTTATTTTAATTGAATTAATTTGCTCTGTTAGAGGGGGTCGTGCCAGGATCTCGATTTCGGGGGGGGTCGTACCTCTGCGACCACGTACTCGACACGATTTTCACCCTGCTTCCCAACCCCCCTCTCGCTGCTCTGCAACGTGTAGCGGGTTACGGCCTTACTGGGTCTTACTGCAATCACAAAGGCTACAACGAGAGTAGTTGTACTCAAATGCTTCAACTTTTTTATCAACCGTTATTGGGTTTGTATCACTTTTGATCACAATTTATCCATGTTTACGTCCCATCCCCTATACCACATGTAAGAGCCAGTATTCTTCTGTCACCGCGGAGGCTGCAACGAAACTGATGGTGTCCTTTACTTGTTCTCCTAATCAGTTCGTGTCAGTTATAGTCACATTCTTTTGCTCACATTTTCGTCCCGTCTCCCTTACATAACATACGTAAGTACAAATATGTCACTGTCAATGCGATTGCCGTAGCCAAAATAGTGGCATGGCGTTTCGGCGCACGCTCAGCTCTTATCACATGATATCACCTTTTTTCTCTCTATTCGGGTTCCCGTTTACGTCGGCATTGCGGCATCCCTTATCAATTCTGAGCGGTTGTTACTTATCACTTTCCGCCACCCTCCGTCAGCGTTCACGTCCAGTCCTCTATATATCCTAGACGTTTGAGCGCACTGCGACCAAAGGAACTCAAAGTTATAAATTTCTGGTCAGACACACACAACCGCAAAGCGGATTATATTCAGTAGGATATTGTAGGATTGCCTTTGGAGAGTGTTCATTTGAAAGTAAGGGGTCATTCTAACTTTGCGCCCACTCATGGTAGGTTGTGCAACAATTGAAGAATTAGCCCAACTTGACAGGAAGGCTTTCGAATCCGTTTTATAGTTTAGGCCTTTACAATAATGATGCGACATGGACTAGCTCCAAAGCACGCTTATTTATTAGACTTTGAGAAATCACATTGCAGGTGGATCGGACAGAGGCTGATCGTGTTAGTGTAGAATTAGACAAGCACACAAGGTGAGGAATCTGATGAAACAACCTCTTCAACCGTGCAACAGAAGAACATAGTGACTATCCATTGGCCCGTTACGCAGACCTCGATCCCGACAAAATATTGGATGCCTATGGCTTTGGGAGGTGTGCTTCTGCCTATTCATAGTAATAACGCATGCGAGAAATATCAAAAGTAGTCCAAAGTGAAAGTCGACTTTGTAGGTATCAGTTTTTTGGTTATTTCTTATCAGAATGTCTGAACTTCTTTTATTCGGCGGCGATGTACGTGATGCCTTATGTTGAACCTAATCCTGTGCTTGAATGTACATTCAAGGTGAGAAAATATATGCTCTTCAGATGTCATATGCGCGATTGGTCGAACAGTTCAACCACGTAAATTTTCTTATATCGCCTGCTCTTCGAGGCACAGGCAGAGGTCTCGCGCAACTGCTCACAGGGTTTGTAGGCTGTCGCTTAGCTGCACACTTGCACCGAAGAAGGAAGATCGAGATCTTCTTTGCGATTGAAATATGCGGACAAAACATCTCAGGCGACATTTACGCTTAGTTACCTGGAAACTTAATCCACCACTGAAGCATCTATCTGAGAACACAAAAGAATCGGTGAATAAAAGATGGGAAGCCGGGAGGCGGTCATATGGCGCGATCCCATTGGCATTAGAGCGCACAGGCCGCAATTGCCCCATCCTGCTGCGGTCGGACAACTCGTCTACCAGACTTCTGTAATTGATCGATCTGATAATTTGGGTCTCAAAAATCTCGCTGAGTCCCAAAGGATCTAAAAAAGAGCGGATAGCTTCGCTGGCCTGATGCCAAGGCAAGAGGAACGGAACAGAATGTGTTGCGCGGACGAGTTGTCCGGCCACAGCAGGATGTGGCCTGTGCGCTCCAATGCCAATGGGATCGCGCCATATGACGCACACCCGGGAAAGCCTGAGAAACGGTGGAAAAGAGTCCTACTAAATAATCGGCTAGCGTGTGTCTGTTGGTGTGTGTGTATGTTTGACCGGAAATTCATAGCTCGAGTCACAGTAACGATAGCGCAGTGGTTCTTACATATGTTATAGGGGGTGGGATGGGGACACAAGTGGTACGTGATAGGAACTGATAACGACTGATAATAGCTGATAAGAGGGGCTAGAAAGCGAGCATCGCCAATTTCGTTTTGTCGTTCATATTGGTACTAGAGCGTCTATACTTACAAGTGTTATGTGGGGTGGTCCCGGGACATTGTGGTGGGTGATTGAAAGTGATAGCAACTGATAAGGGCTGGAAATAATTCAGGAACATGGTGATGTTAACAGAGTTGTGAACATTCCAACCTCAGGCCATTCGACAGATCAGCAGATGCTCCACTTCAAATTTCGCTGAAGTCTACCATGTGATGCGCGTGATAGCGCGCAGAGCAAAATTGGTAAATATATGTGTGTGTCTGGTTCTAGTAATTCAACTGTCACCATGGTTTGTCATCTATTTGTCATCCTATACTTCTCTGCCGATTTCGTCATGCTTTCAACGACATATAGTATGTAGGTGTGAGTCCACTATTGAATGTGAGAGTTATAGAGAAACACGCTAACTGGAGCGCCATGGGCGGAATATCCTACTATATATAATCGGCTAAGTGTGTGTGTGTCTGACCGGAAATTCATAACTTCACCCCCTTTGGACCCAGAGCGCTCAAACTTCTAGGATATATAGGGGGCCGGAGGAACACTGATGACGGGTGGCGGGAAGTGATAACTACTGATAGGAGCTGATAACGGACGTCGAAATGTTGATGTCACCAATTTCGTTACACCGTTCGCGTTGACGGTGGAGAGTTTGCACTCATGTATGATATGTGGGGTGAGGCGGGGACCAAGAAGTTGAGTGAACGAATGTGGTAGCAACTGATAAGAACTGATAAGGGGCGTCAAAGTGTGGATACCACCAGTTTCGTTGCGGCCCTTGCGGTTACATTGGAACCTTGGCTCTCACATGTGGTATAGGGGATGGGACGGGAACACGGATAGCGGATGATCAAAAGTGATAACAAGCGATAACGGTTGATAAGGAAGTTAGGATTTTGAGTACTGCTAATTTCGTTGCAGCCTTCGTGGTGACAGTAAATATTAGCTCCTACACGTTGCTGGAGGTTGGGACCGGGACACCGATTGCGAACAGTATGAACTGATAACAAATGACAAGGAATGATAAGAGCGTTTGAATGCAGGTCTCTCCAACTTCGTTGCAATTATCACTGGCAAGCGATCAAGGTGGCGAGGGTTGAATGTAGGTGACAGAAAGTGGTATGAGCGGCAACTGTACTGATAAAAGTAGCGACAGTTGAGCGTGCACTCAATTGAACTAAACCAGGTCCCTAGCACGTGAATATGTTCCATTCCTACCCTTTCATCTAAAGAAGCAAAGAAAGTTGAGCTGCTCAACTTGGACCAATAGCGAATTTCCATTATATTTCCAATTTCCATAGCTCGGTTAGATGCTGATTGATTGGTTATATTTCACTTACACACCGATTCTTCAATTGTGGAAATTCTATAAACCGCTAAATCATCCGAGCTCGATATCAATGCTAAATGTTTACGAAGTCATGATAAGTACCATTTTCATTCCGCATGCTACTGCGCGCATTACGCTACAATCTTCAGCAAAATTGGACGGCCTTTGAAATTCATGTGACACATCTTCCAAACATCTTACTGTTAGTTTCTCAGCCACGTGACCTAATATTCAGCAAGTTGTCCAGTTTCACTAAAGCCCATGATGCGCGCGGTTGCGTGCGGAGCTAAACTGGTATAATATATATATATATATATATATATATATATATATATATATATATATATATATATATATATATATATATATATATATATATATATATATATATATATATATATATATATATATATATATATATATATATATATATATATATACAGGGGGGCCAAAAAAAAGACATTTTGCCTCCACTTCCAGATGGATTTAAGCACATTTTACTCAACTCAGACCGAACGGTTCCAACTTATTATTAAAGAGTGCATTCCATTCTATAAGAAAATCTTCATAGTGGCCACGTACGTGGACGGCATCAGAAGAATTAGCCCTGGAAACATGGTGCACTGGTCGATCTCAATGGGGTCTTCGAAGGATCGTGTACCATAACGACCCTTAGCTAGGAAAGCTAGTTCCGAGGGGATTTGCACAGTGGTAGCTAATGCCTC